TAAACAGTTATAAGCCCCACAATTCCCGCCTGACAGACTGATGGCATCTTCACTCGCGTAACACCGTGAATCTACTGACTCGATGTCTAAACGGGACTCGGCTAAAGTACAAAAACGCGCTAACAATCTGTTCGTGTCTCGATACATTCCCACTTGACAGATGGATCTTATTACATTTCTTCTCGTGTGACACCGTGACTTATTAGGGGTTGCAAAAATGAGGTCCACTGTATCCCATCTCAAGTGTCTCTATACGCTCCATTGTACTGTGGCCGCCTTCAGGTAAACGCACTGAGATTCAGACAAGTCATCAAGGTTGATTCCCGGAACAGCGGTAATACGTTGTGATATCCGAATCGAAATGCATGGGCATAGGTAGTATTCTAGACACTGATGGATTGGTCAAGATATGCTAGCGGTCCGAACGAATGACCAAGGGGAAATAAATAGTAACACATGACAGACTGCCTGGTGGTTCTACCTCCCTGTTGATTCTCGCTCATCTCGGACAACAGAAGAGTATAACGGGTTCTGGTTTTACCTTGCGACACGGATAGGCTGCAGTGGACATAATCGCACCATTTCCTGCTAACTTGGAAACTTGCTTACGCCATCTCCGTCATTTTTTGGATGGCATCCTTATTCTATATGCCGCATGTAAGTCGCGCTTGGGTACAGTTTCATTCTAGAATGAGTAACTATTGACTTGGTGCAATGTGGTATCTTTATTGCACCTGCCTAGAACGGTTGTATTTCGCGATGACTTCACATGCGTTGCGCATTACGATATTGTTCTCATCATGACCTCTGCTATCCTATATTTGCTACCTTCTCAAGCGGAGTCTAGTATGGTTAAATACCGAGACAGTGAGCTACGGCATCTTCCTCTTCATAGTATTATTCGGCCGCGATTCACATCACTATGTGAAACCCATGGTATTACTCACCATAACCGTAGCTTGACCAACTGCTCAATGCTAACTAGCATGACGCTTAGAGAGCCGGTGCATCGCAGAATAATGGTTCAGTCCATCCATGAGCTCATTCGTACTGTACATGTAGAGGGTAACACCTAAGTGCACACTATTTCACTGTACCAATAGTTTAGTCATCATTCTACCTAGCAGTTGCTTCACTATTGCTACATCGGGTTCCTTCAAATATGGATGTCCAAGATTTAAGGCTATCACGTCTAAATGTTGAAGAAAATATCAACAGTTCGTATTGGGTAGTTATTCTCATGCCTGCGAAAGTGGTTGTTAGCCTGACCTCCAAACGAAACCCATAAACCTTTGTCGTACCATTGATGACGATGTCTAATGTGTCTCTGTCCAATTTGTGACAGCTGCTCACACTTAAGTTTGGATAAATGCATGTGCATATGTTGTATTCGAACTGCCATTGGGCAGGGGTGACGCCAATCTATGTACATATGTGTACCGATTGAATTCGACGAGGATACTCATACCGCTTTTGTACGGCGAAATTAGTGCAGTAAAAGGATATTCGAGCAAACCGAAAATAACATTGCCAGAACATGAAGAAGGTGAGTTTATGACAAACTCATGTTGATTTCAGGTATTGCGAATCCAAGGCAAATTTGATTGATGCGAATTCCGTGGAATGCTCAAAAGGGCGGTTTCTCAGGTGCCGGAGAAGGCACTATTGTATGCGGAATAGAAGCACCATGAGTATGTTCCCATTCAATTTACTAATCCAGGCCAATAAGGCGGCGTATGTGGTACGTTTGCCTGCGTGATGAGTAATCTTGCATTTCAGAAGTAGATGTTGTTTGAGCTCCCCGGTGTGGATGCGCTTGATGTGAATGTTGACAAGGTGCCTACCTTTCTATTACCCACTACCTCTTCCATACTGGCTCCAGGAGACAGTTGGTCGTTGCTCTTGGGGACGGGGTGCACCGTCCTCGTGACGGTGTTAGGCTTAAAAAGTGGTTCCATGCAATCTGTGTGGAACGGGCTACGGTCCAGCCACCGCCTCGTGTACGTCTGGTGTGTATGAGTTCCCAATTAGGCCGGAATGCTTCCGATCTGCTTGTGGAAGGAGTGTGGGCCGGCTCCGTTGATGAAACGTGGCTCCCATCCGCATGCCTCCCGGTCTTATTCCTTCGGGTTTGCACCGGATATGGGGTGTGTGGGTGGAACAGTGGGTGGTGCAGCGCAATCCACCCATGGTCCCTCTGTAGGCGCAGGCGTCCTGTGACTGTCCCCATGGACGTCACAGTGACAGGCAAATCCGGATACGGACGCCGCCAAATCATAATACACTAACACAATCCACCATTTTTCTTGACAGTATGATTAAACATTGCAATAAACATTATAATTCAACATAAACCCCACCGGTTATTATTTCCAATTTATTTTTTCAATGAAATAGTACGCCTAATTACCACCTGTAGCGGATAGAATGGCTGTGGCTGTGTGGAACATTTTCATCACATTTAGCCATACATTCAATATTTGAGTATAAATTTAGGTACTCACTTCCGTGTTGTGACGCCTTGGGATTCTATTTGCACTGACGGTGGAAGGCATTAGGGTTCAGCAAAATACCTTCTACGCGTATTCTAAATCTACAACGCAAACGTTTTCCTAGTATCCAAAGCTACCGAAATTTGCCTGTTTGGAGGGGCACAGTTACAAAGATTAGCCAATCAGGGCGTTTCAATGGTCACTCCAGCTTAGTCCGATCAGTCACTTGTGCTAAGTAGGAGAAGGTCGCAATCGCAAAATATAAAATATTTGCAAGAATCTTTGTGAGAACAACATTTATTTAATAAGGGTTTAGCGTGTCTATAATAATCATTTCTATTTCCGCCACATAATTGTGCAAGGCGGTGAATGATGTGCGAATATCTAACGCACCAAGGGGCATGAAGGATGAATCGCAGGACATGTCACCCGTTTCGGTTGCTTCACAACGCAGTACTCCGTGCTGCAGACTAGGGGGCCATTGCAAATTTCCACTTCCTCACAAACACCTGGAGCTATGAGAGTCTAGGAAAGAGTGATGGTGTTAGGTTTAGTTCGAAAGTTCAACTTACGATGATCTTGTAAGTCAACACTTTGCTGACATTGAAATCCTTGAGGACAGATAATATTTGCATATCTTTCTCATTCATGAACTTGTATTCGGTTTGCGAGTTAATGGCAATCTCGAGCTACACGAAAGAAAATGGATTGTGGGTAAACGGTAAAACAATGTTTAACGTATGCAAACTCACGTAAATTCTGATCTCGCTGACTGTGGAAAGTGCTTTCCTACATTCATCCGGTGCGCTAGTCCCGGCCCTAGGCCCGGCGCTAGTCCCGGCGCCAGACCCGGCGCCAGTCCCGGCGCTAGTCCAGGCGCTAGTCCCGGCGCTAGGCCCGGCGCTAATCCCGGCGCCAGTCCCGGCGCTAATCCCGGCGTCAGTCCCGGCGCTAGTCCCGGCTCTAGTCCAGGCGCTAGTCCCGGCAGTGGTTCGACGCGTTGTTGTGCGTGTGGTGGATTCAGTGGTTGCGATTCTTGTAGGGATGGTTTCAGTGGGTTCAGTCTCAGTGGGAGCTGGTGTGGTGGTGGTGGTGGTTGTCGATGTGGTGGTTGTAGTTGGGGCTGGAGTGGTTGTTGTAGTGGTGGTCGTGGTCGTGGTAGTCGGAGCTGGTGTGGTGGTGGTCGTTGTGGTGGTGGTGGTGGTGCTAGTGGTTGGAGCAGGGGTGGTGGTTGTCGTGGTTGTAGAAGCCAGAGTGGTTGTAGTCCTCGTGGGGATTTGGCTTGTTGGCGCAATTGGCTTCGGCGTCGCATCAGGGCATACACAGCAACAATTACAGCGACACTCTTTCCCGTCTTGTAGCATGTTCCATTGTGTGTGTACAATGGCACCATTCGGTTCACGGCTCACATCCGAATGAGCCACGTGAAGCGCATTCGTAAACACAGTGCACAGCACCGTCAGAACGATAGTCAACTGAACCCACATATCTGTAAATAATTTGAAGTGACAGAATTTTTAGTTTTAGTGAATGGGGATAGGGGGAGAACGGTGGATGGAAAATATGCACTGTTAATAACTCTAGATTTGTTTGCCTTTGAGACAAGCAAACATTTCACGTTGTTACCCGAACGCTATGTGCAACCTTTGGTTTCACTTGATGAAATATTATGCTGTGATCACATAATACTGCACAATAGTGCCTTTACAAATGAAACAACACGGTTGTAGAAAGCGTGGGTTAGATGTGTTTGGCTTGTGCATGAAACTCATGGTCATATACTTCATGCTCCAAAGAAAACCATGTGGAACATACCGTTGGAATCGTCAAAAAACCGCTGACGAACAAGTTGCTGAAGAATTGCGTACTACATCCGTGGTATTTATACGGTCTGTTAAGCATTTCAGGGTCATGCAATGTTGCGAAAATCCAGGCAATCTCAGTGTGGACAGACCACCATCATACGACTCATGTGACCACGAATCAAAGAAAGTTTACTGGGATGGTTCTCAAGCATTCGTAGTATGATTTGAACTGCCCCTATATGTCATTTGGCACAGGAAGCCACTTTACATTTGAATACAACCGGAGAGGTATGAATCCAAGGAAACCCTTAGTTACTTAGTTGTCCGCATAGATTTAGTAACATTTTCTTCTCTCATATGTCGCTCCGTCTTTCAGGGAACATAAGGACCACTGCTGATTCTGGCACAAGGCCAAACATTTCGACGGAGCGCTTTTTGAACTTGCATATTTAGATCATTAATTTGAATGTGAATTAGAGTAGTTGTTTTGGTTAATCCAAATAGTATTTGTCGGTAAATGGATGACTGTACTTTTGTGGCTTCTCTCATACGCATATCACATATTCGTTTACACTGTTCAGAAATGGACAGTCAAAGTGGGAATCGAACACGGAACACAGTGTACAGTGGTTGATGCATTTTAGCCTAGGCGACAGAAAATCCTTAGTAGTGATAGTACCAAAGATTTGAGATGCATTTCGGTTAGGTTTGATTAATCGATTGTGTGAATGGATTATCCCTGGTAACGTTGGTTGGGATTGCAGTTCGCTTTGAAGTATACCTTAATACACCCGATCGCTCGAACCATAAATTTAGCTAGGCATTATATAAGTACCTACAGCAATCGGCAATCTGCATCATCTGGGTCCACACCAGAGTTAAGCTACATTTAACAGAACACTAAAGGGGAATAAAATATTGATTAGAGTATATAAAACTGTAATGTTCAATTTGGATTAGAATTTTAGATTTGTTCCTCAGCTATTCGCGGTGTATTGGTCACATTAAGAGCAGGGATATTGGCGTTTTCTGGCTTCGACCCAAAGCAAGCTTGTATAAACATGATCAATAAATTGCGTGCACTGAAAACAGACTGCTCATAGTTCGATGGAGAATGGTTGCGAATAAACGGTCGGTAAAGACGTTTCAACACATTTGCATTAAACGTATCAACGCCGACCGAAGTATTACAACAAAATACCGATTTGCGTCTGGAGTGAGAAACCAATTATTCATATTGCTTATTCTTTTCAGAGATCGGGGACCAGCTTTCTTATTCCATGCACCGAACTAATTGGTTTCTAGGATAAATCCAGTCCTGTTACACTTTATCACTACATTTCGCTAACAAGAATTGCATGCAGTTGGAATGTGCATGCATGTTTAGGAACAATATTTCGTTGATAATTGCTCTGGCGTTAATAAAAGGTACTGAAAATATACTATGAATGGTGGGGTTAGTATTCGCGTACCTATTGTATGAGTCACCGTGCTCACGGATAATTGGAGCGGCAAATATATGTGGGAGCAATCGTGTGGGTAGGGGTACCTAGTCTTCTGCGAACGCCGGTATAGTTGAGGGAAAGGAGCGGTTATGGTATCAAGTCTACATTGAGGTTGACTTAGTGCTATGGTTATCTTGCATGTGTAGAATTTGCATAAATCATGGGAACATGTAGTTGGCTTCTGCCGGGTATATATGAAATGGGAACGGCCGCGGTTCCATTTCCAAATCCACTAAGAAGGATTGTGGCGAGTGGTGGTGAGCGAGGGTGCACATAGCTGACATGAAGTAGGAACTGGCTTTACCCGCTTGGCAAAATTCTCTTTATTGTCATTACCTTGTCCTTGACTACAAAGTGGAACGGATTAGCCAGTAAATAATCACTTTAGTTTTAATCCGTTCAGCATATAAATGGATGAATAAATCAATGTGTATATTTGCCGACAAACGGTACACGGCCACGTAGGCGGAAGCGATCATTTGTACAGTGAATAGTTCTCATGGATTATGCGGCGTAAATCATAATATTAAAGCAAAGTTAAATAATAAAATTTCGGATCGTGTTTTATCTTCGGGTCATAGCTCCGAGTACCTAATACGTAAAACGTTCTGCTATTTTTGTATCCTCATTTTGTAGTTTTCGGGGCTCAGGAGTAGATAATAAATGAGAGGGGATACTAGGCTGCACAGACACAGGATTGGGTACTGTAGGTAAAGACATGTAGTCGGTGAGCTAGTTGTAAGTGAATATCTACTCATATGCTTTTTATACCAACTTCTGTCAATGTTTCTAGAGTTTGCTGGGAGTCAAAGATCTTCAACACATTTGATATAGTGAGGAACGTCTGTAGAGAATTTCGATATGTGACATTGCTTGCACTCATGCGTATCTGTAGGAGTAGTTTGTTCCACAGATCAGTGTGTTTCACTAAGAAGGAATTCGATGAAATTTTATGACCTGAAAAGTTTGTGTCTATTAACTAGCCGCCATTACGTATGGGGTAGACTGCAGTCTTTCGTAGTTCAAGTGCGGTGCTGTCTGCGTAAATTCGTTGGTTTATAATGTTGTAGAAGAGCACAAGGTTGTTCTTTAAGCGTCTCAGCCAAAGAGGATCCAGTTGGAGTTTTCGACAGCGATCATAATAACTCCGCAGCGCACCATGACCAGCTTTGTAAATGATCGTTGGACATTTTCCAGAGCCGTTCTGTCTTTCTTTCTCAATTGGCTGTGAACGATAATACAGTATTCCAGAGTCAGTCGTACTATTGTCTTGAATGACTCAAGTCGTGCTTCGAGTAGGGAGAAAGTTCTGGTGATATATCTGCATAGCTGCCTTGCTTTCGCAATCTGATAGAGCACATGTTCGGAGAAATGGAAAGAGTTTAAGTACCTGATTCCTAAGTTCCGAACTGGATCAGACGTTTGGATCACGTTTCCGGCAAGTGTGATAGAGTCTTCTAGGATGCGGCGTCTGTACCCAAGTACTTGGGAATTCGCTGTGGAGAACTTCACTAATAAACGCTCACTAGCTATATTTAGTGCGGATAGGTCTTCACAGATTTTTCCCAAGCACCTTGTACTTGGTCTGGATAAAATGAGTAAACCAGTTTGACGTCATCTGAAAACAGAAACGGGCGTGCATTTAGGATCGGGTCGCATATGTGGTTTACGTAGATTAGGAAAAGTAGTGGTCCGAACAAACTTCCCTGGAAGACGCCGCTGGTTATTTGTTTCGGTGTAGAATATTGCTTGACCGATATTAAATACTTGAGTTCGACCGTTTAGGTATGAGCCAAACAAGTTAAACAGAGGATTTCCAATTCCATATGACTCTAGAGCAGAGAGCAGTGGCTTGTGCGGCAAGCGGTCGAACGCCTTTTGCATGTCCATCAGAATTATACTAATTGCCATTCCTCTGTCAATCATTGTCGTGACATGACCGAGAAATTGTAGCTGGCAGGTAACGCAGGAGTGTTTTGAGAAAAGCCATGCTGTGAGGGGTTTATCAGATTCAGTCTTGTAAGATATTGAACGATGTTCTTCTTGACTATTCTCGCTAGGGCTTTGGGAGCAGCAGATTTGTGAGTTAATGGTCTCATGATAGTTTCTCTACAGCAGTAGTGATTGGTCCACACCTAAAACTGCCAATCAAGCTGAAAATATGACGACGCAGACATCTGTTGACCACACACCTAACTGCGGTTCCTTTTCCAAGCCTCGAGCCTTTACAATATTTGAAAGTAACTGTACCTGAGACCTATCAAGAGCGAGATAAGAATTCAGATCGTCACGTTGGCATCACGCAAAGCAAATCTAAATCCGACCCGATTGAAATCAGCTATGGCTTATCTCCGACAACCGAGGAGTAGGCAAAACTAGGGGAAAGCTCCCTGTCAAAATTCGTTACATAAACACTCAAAGCTCAGAAGATGTGAAACGACCACTAGAAGAACGTAGAGATACGCAGCTAGGCCAACTGAGCAAAAGTGTACGCCCTCATGCTTCCACATGCAACGCCGACACTGTTGTCGGGATAAGTCGCAGAGAGCTGGCCCAATACTTACCCACAATGTCTCTGATTACGATTCCAAATCCCGCAACGGCAAACTGACAAAACCCTTAATTGTACGACACCGAAATAGCAAACAAAATGATGGGAGGCCACAAGGAGGTAGTAAGATGTAAACCCTATCTACCTCAAATCAAAATTTGCCCACCACAACCACCACCACCACCACCACCTGTATCACTCAATTGGCAACAATACAATCCGAAGAAAACGAGTTTGTAGACTTCAGCATTTTACGGATGTAAGTCTTTTTTTAGACTATCGTATGCCGCCACATTCTCCCCCACTAATCCAGCCACCATCACATGCGATTATGAAGCAGCGAATAATCAAAATACTGGAATATGTACTTCATTACCTCCAGTACTATCTAGAGCTCAGTGTGCCTCAGCTACCTCACAACAAACAGTTCTTCGATACAATGACAAAGAAACAAGCATTACCCACAAATTTCATTTCAATTTAATAATGTTTTTCAAATCTCTCTTCATTAACATTCGTTCTCTTTTACCTAAATTAGATCTACTTTCAACACTTATGTTTATGGGTTCCCCCGATATTGCTTTTATCACTGAAACTTGGTTCACGTTAGATATTAGTGATTCTCGGCTTAACATCTTAGGCTATAAACTTTTCAGCAAGGATCGCTCACACAAACGTGTTGGTGGCTGTGCCACATATCTTCGAAATAATCTGACTGCAATTCCCACAGATCAATCTGTGCTCAATGACTTAGAAGATACATTATGACTAGTGATCCCATCTACTGATTTTCTAGTGGGTTATATCTATCAGCCACCCCGAACCACTTAATGTGAAACTCAAAAGCTGATCGATATGATCGATGCTGCTTCTAAAACCACATACAAACCCAAAACTATGTGTGGGGAGTTCAACCTACCACATGTTAACTGGATGTTGCCTACACTCAGAAACCCTGCGGAGATTGAGGAAATCATCTCATGTATACAACACAAACACTGGACCCAGCATGTTAGA